GCCCAAGGGGAGATTCCCCGTTGTGGGGGAAAAAAAGGCCTTCTCCCCTTTCCCTTTTTGGGGAAAAAGTTTTTTTTCGCTAGGGGGGTGGGGGGGGGGGGAGAAAAACAGGGAGAGAAAGGAAGTTCAAGGCTTTTGATCCTCGGATACTTTGTAGCAAACAAAGGCAAACGCAACTCACCTACACAGTTTCTGCCATGCACAGATCTGCTCAGAAAGAAGACAAGAGAAGGGATCAGGAAGAAGCCAACCGTTTTGGCCCCCTAAGGAGACCCCCCTGCCTCTGGGCACCAGGTGCTCGAATGCCGGCCAGCCCGGCCTGGCCCTGCTAAAGCCCCAAGAGGCCCCTGCCCGCTGCGCCCTCACCAGTCCGGGGCAGGATGAGGATGTCCTCCTGGCTCAGGCCCTGCGCCAAGGCTGCCTGGCTGAACTTCTCCAGCAGCTCCGGACGCAACAGCTTGGTTCTCCCTGTCGCCAGGAAAGCAGAGGGAGGGGTGAGAGGCCCGGGCCCTGCACGCCCCCCCACCTCGACCTTCCCTGGCGTGTCCCCGCCTGTCCCGCCTGGAGAATGGAGAGGCCCTGGCCGCGCCCCGGAGGGACATGGGCACGTACCGTACAGGGTGACCATGGTGAATGTCTCGGCCCCCTTGGTTATCGTGTCCCAGAGCAGCGCATACTCGTTGTAGTTGGTCTCCACCACCCGGATGTTGTGGGTGCTTCCGGACCCTGGAACAGGAGCAGACAAGGAGAGAAGGGCCTCCGGCCAGGATCCACAGGGGGGCAGCGGTCAGGAAGACGTGTCCCATTAGGCACGGCAGGGCTGTCCCCCTCCGCTGCAAGCCCCTTGGCCGCCACCTGGTCACAGAACCTCCATTGCCCTCTGTTGCAATGGGCAGGCACTTCCAGTCCCTCTCAGCTCCTCCCGGGGGGCTCCAGGCTACCGTTCCCACCACCCATCCTTGCTGGCTGGGGCTGATGGGAATCGGCCTCCAACACATCTGGAGCTCCCCTGGATTAGGGTTCGTTAGGGAAGCTGTGTGAGCTTTGGCTGCCTTCGTATGGCAGGGGAGGAGCAGGGATGAGGAAGAGGAGGCCTGTGCCCGCAGGGCTGGGAAGGAGAGCTTGGGATGGAGGGGTGCAGCAGCTTTGAGCGCCTGGCTGGCACAGCAGGGAAGAGGGCTGGGTCCGTGAGCTCCCTTGCGGCCTCTCCGGCCCTCCTGGTGGCGGGGATGGGACAAGAAGAACCAGGGCGAGGCCGTCCCTCTGCCAGAGAGTCTTGGGCCTGAGGGGCTAATCCCACTGGCCAGGGAAGGCACCGTCAACTAGACTGGAGCCCGTATGCACTGGTGCTTGTCGGGCCTGGCAGACCAGTTCCCTCCAGCTGGCACGCCAGGCTGTTCGGCTGGTCCTGGGGACAGAGCTGAAGAGCTGAGGGCAAAGGGCGAGAAAGAGGGCACGGCCAGGCGGGTCGGAGAGGGGCGTGCACGTACAAGGGTTGGTGTAGGTGAAGTGGCCGGGCTCATCTGTCCGGAGGAAAAGGCTTCTCTTTGTCTCGCACTGGTCCAGCCTGGCAGGAAGAGAGGAAGAGGGGTTACACAAAGAGGCAGCCGCAGCCGCAGCCTCAGCTCTGAGACCCATCTGGGGAGCTCGCTGCTCCCATACAGGGGCCGCCGGCTCAGGCGGCTTCACGAGCCGAAAAAGAACTGGGTGCACGCAAAGAGGGGGAGCCAAGGCCCAGAATGGGGGGAACAGTCAGGATGTGTCTATTAGGCACCGCCACAACTGTCCTTCCCCCAAGGCCAGGAGGAATGCCACATGCTGACGCCTGATGCCCTTGGCACGGACCCCCTGGGTCGGCCCCACCTCGCCCTCCAGCAAGAGCAGCGACGCTTTGCCTGGGGGCCTCCTCACTTTGGATAGGTGGAGGTGACATCCAGGTTCCCGTCTTCTGTGGGCGTGACGACCGTGGTGCACATCTTTATAACCAGCTTCTTCTCTTTGAACCACCGGGAGTTGGAGGCCAGGCCGATGCTATACCAGGTCCCTGTGAACTGAGGGGGTGGGGGAAAGGGTGTTAGGCCTCCCAACAGCACAGCCTTTGCCTCCCTGGCACCCTTGCCAGGCCTTAGGCATCCCCAGCCAGGAGGGCATTGGGTATAGGAGCCCACAGGAGAAGGAGTTTGACGGGGCTCAGTTCATGGTGCCTAAAAGCCAAGGCTTATTTTTCCTGACGGATGGAATGCAGTTCTTGGAAAGGGCTGGATTCCTTCCAGGTTTACAAAAGTTGGTGCTTACAGCAGAAAAAGGCTGGCTTTTAAACTGGAGATGTTTGCTGTGTTTCTGTGTTTCTCCCTTGAACCCCCAGGACAGGCTGAAAAAGAACCGCCTCCTGCAGCTGAGCCCCTCGCAAAGAGTGTGAACGAGAGACGGGCTCTTCTTCCATCTGTACAGACCCCCCCACACACACACACACCGCAAAGGGACGCCGAGCCTTTCCACCCACAGGCTCGGACGATGACCCTGAGCGGTGTTTGCTCCGCAGAAGCCAAGCACCTGGGCTCGGGGCGGAGGGGCGCCACGCTGGAGCTCCCGTTACCTGCTCTTGCTGGAAGTCAGCCTGCACGGGCATCTCGGCCTGAACCTGCAGCAGGCAGAGCAAGGCGAAGGCCAGGAGGGCAGAAAACTGTGTCTGCATGCTGAAGGCGGCGTTCCTCAGCTCTGCCTGGTGTGGCGTCTCTGCAAAGGGAAACTCCAGGAATGGTCAGCTGGGAACCAGGACAGCCTCCTATATATTGGCCGGCCCAGCTGCGGGTCAGGGGTCAACCCTGCTGCTGGAGGCCAGCCCTTGCACCCACCCAGCAGAATTATGCAAACAGAAATCAGGACAACAGAACGGGCAGCAGGGCCACGTTGCTCTGTTCTCCGAGAGCCCAGCTGTGAGAGCATCAGCCCACGGGCCAGCCAAGGCAGATCCCCATTGGAGACCCTGGTGGAAGAGGTGGCCCTGGAAGGTGGAGGAGCCCGGCCCCCCATGATCCAGGACTTGTGCAGAGGGACACCCCCTCCCTCTCCCGCTCTCGCTCTGCTGTACAAAGTTCAGGGCTGCCTCGTCCAACATTTGGCACACTGCAGAGAGGGAGAAAGGAAGGAGCCCCCCCCGGAAGAAGTGCCTTGCCCAGAGCATCCAGACCTTCGCTGCCCCCCCCTCCCGTTGCCAAGCACACCCGGGCCTTTCTGCCGGCAGGCATCGTGTCATTTGCTGGCTGGGCGAGAAGAACAGGATGTGTGTTGCTGGATCAGTGTGAAGGTCCCCCCACCTGCCCCATCTTCATTCAGCCTGTGGGCAGTTTCCAGGCCCAGAAAGCCTAAATCCCTCATGGGGCTGCTGTTGCGGGGAAAATAGGGTGTGCGTTGCCTGGGGTTCCTGAAGGAGAGGCTGGATATCCATCCCATAAATCAGCAGATAGAACCCATCGCTCTATGGGGCTTGGAAACAGCATTCCGGCAGCTGCCAGGCTGGAGATGGGGTCGGACCGTTTCTCAGGCACAGCTGGATCTCCCCGGCAGGGAGGCCGCGTCCACACGGTCACCCGGAGTTGAGCTCAGTGGGGAGGTCAAGGGCTGGAGGTCAGCAGGGGCGATGCTGGGGCGGGGAGAAAGGCAGTATGCGGCCTGTTTGGGAAGGTCTCTGCGTTTGGGGAGCGACCAAAGCCATAGGAGCATCTGTGTCAGTGTCTGGCAGCAGCGGCCCCTCCCTCAAAGTTGGAGATGCAGGCGCAGCTCAGCCCTGCCAGAGGAAGGCCAGCTGTTGGCCAGAGGTGGCTGCTTCTGCCACGCTCCCCGCCCCCACCCCATCCGTTCCCGGAGGGGCCTGGCGGTTTTCAGCCGGGGGTGCGCGCATCCTCCCTCAGCAAAGCAACCCCTTCGGGGGTGGCTCACGGCTGCTGCCCCCTTTAGAGCAAGGAGAGATGCCTTTCCAGAGCCAGGTGGAGGGGGGTCCGAGGAACACGGCCGGGGGCTGTCTGGTAAACAGCACGTGCAAAGGCCTGGAGCCGGAACAGCAAAACAAGCCGGCCGCCAAGAGAACAGGCGGGGGGTGGCGAGGGGGGCGGCGAGCGCTTTCCAGAACTGCCTTCTCAGCAAAATCGAAGAGGCCGAGAACAGTCTGGCCCTGAAGGCAGGGCAGCTGAGCTGGGGCCGGGGGCGTCCTTGGCATTTGGGGGCAGTGGCTCTGCAAGAACACAAAGCCAGGGTGGAACCCCAGCCTGACGCTCCCTGGGTGAGGGGGAGCCCTGGGAGCATCAGAGGGACCTCCTTTGGGAGGAGCAGGCAGCACGGATTTCAGGGCATCGGGGGATGAGAGCTGCGGATCTCCTTTGTGTCGTTCCAGCGTTTAGGCGAGCCTCCTGCTCCCCCAAGGCGCTCTTAGGCGGTCCTGCTGTGACACACAGCCTCTCCTCCCAAAGGCTTCCTTCGTCCTGCTTGGGGTGGGATGATGCAGCCAAACCAGGGGTGGGGAGGAGCTAAGAAAGTGCCAGGCCAGCGCAAAGGCCTTGAGACTGACCGGACCACGCTCCAGAGCTGGGCAAGGCTGTGCCTCCCTCCCTCAAAATGCCCTGATTTCCCGCTGCTCCCCCGAAGCCTCCTCAACAGCGCTATTTTAATACCCGCCTTTCCTACGACGCACATCACAAAGCCAAGAGCAGAGCACGCTCCACACGGCCACCCTCTGCGAAGCAACTCGCCCTTTTCCATGGAGTTCAGATTCTTCCCCCTAAAGCTGCTCGTGTGAATAGTGTGAGGTGGTTAAAGAGTCCCAAACAACGGGAGCTGCTTTGCTGAGAAGGCTAGATCCCGCTAAAGCCCGGATCCTGCGGCTGGCTCAGCTCTAACTCTGAGGCTGACCCTTTCCCAAGTGATCCTGATCCACAGCGTAGGATTTCGAAGTTGGGGTGGAGGGCTCACGTGCCCAGTCCTGCCTCTGAGCCCACCAGTACAAGCCAGCTGTTTAGCGAATATCCCTTTTTCTGCAAAGTTCAAGAACGTCAAGCTTGGCTTTCTTAAATTGGCTTTATTCTCATGGGAACAGGAACAGGTATCAAAAGGCAGCGATTCCTGCTTTTGAGTCTCCGCGCAGGCTGTCTGGCACAGGTAGAGCGTCGGATGGGAGGCTGCTCCCCTCTACTGCTACCCCGTGTACTTGGTTTCTGGAAAGCAGAAAGGGCCAACACAGCTGGGTTGGCGGGTGGGACCTGCCCCTGAGAGGCCACTGCCTACCTCTGGCAAGCCCCCCAGCAGGGGTCTGTACTCATTGCCCCCTCCAGCCAGCAGGGGAGCTGAAGCCCGCCTGCTTCTTGCGGGGGGCTGTGGGGGCATGTGCGGCCTCCAGCCTTTGGCCAAGAGCTCGCCCAAACATTCAGGACACAGCCAATGCTCCGCAGCAGAACGGGCCCCTGCTGGGGAGGGCAAAGCTGGACCAGCACCCTCATTTGGCGCTCCATGGAAGAGCCCCGCCCTAGAAAACCCCAAATGGGCTTGCTCTGCCGGTTCAGAAATGTCCCAGTGAAAGGGGAAGGAGCTAAGAGAGGTGCTCAGAAATCATTGCTGGCCACTGCAGGCCTCCCATCCCCGTGTTCGATTTCACCCGGCAGGACGGAGGTGGAAAGATGCTTTCATCCCAAGGACTAGCAGCTTAAAAAGAGAGAGTCCCTGAGCGGCCAGTGCCCAGCCCTGGGTCCAGAGAGCCTGGCCGAGCAGGCGCTCAAGCCAGCCACTCACCGTCAAGGATGTGGAATTGGTCAGCCGAGTTACAAAACCCTGCAGAAAAGAGCCGTGTTGGGGAGAAGACAAGATTAACGATTCTTGTGGATTCTGCTCATTCGCTCACAAGCAAGCTAAACATTAGCACAACTGGCTTGCCACGAACCATGCGCGGCTTTAATTAAATGGTTTTCGAAAACGTGCTGCAGGTCGAGCCTGCAGAGTTCACTTTGCCTGACCCGGTGAGGAGGTTTAGACATGAGGGGAAGCACTCTGCTCCTGCCCAGGAGCTCCATCGCTCCTGCAAGGCCTGGGGAGGTGCAGATCTGCCCTTGCAAGCCTTCTGGGTGCCAAAGAGTTGCACACAACTCACCGTAGACGGGGTAATAAAAGGTGACGTCATCACTCATGCCGATGGCAGCCACAGCGGCCTCAAACTTTTTCAGGATGTTATTTGTGACCTGTGCCGTTCGTCCTTCCAGAGGTTTTAAAAAAGAGAAGCATTAGAGGAGTGGTAAATTGTGCTTTTCTTTCCTCAAACAGTTAAGAGCAAGATAAGGCTGGGGCAAAGCCAGAGGAGTCCCCTTTTGCAGGCAGATTTCCCTGCAGAACAGCATGGCTGTGGGTTGAGGGGAAAAAAGACCGTGAGAGGGACTCCTTCAGAGATATCCTAGGCCCCCTCCCGAAAGGCAGCCCTTCTCCTTGCGTCTCTGCACGACCAGAGACTGGCGATCGTAAGGCTGGATTTACCCCACCCGGAAAGGAAGGAGCCCAGCCAGAGCAGCGACTGCCCAGATGCTCTCTGGCAGCTCCTCCCCTGCCTCGGGGGAGGACCTTGGAACACAAAATCGAGTGGGAGCCATCACCCCCTCCCCAAAAGTTTGCTGTTCCCTGGGTTTCCTCCCAAGGCGTATTGGTGGAGCTGCGGTCCGGCCTGTCCTGGGTCAGGAACGCCCATCAACCGAAGGCCAGTTTTCAGAGGCAGGGTGTTCACACCGTAAAGCTTCGCTGAGATCTTGTGGTTCTTCTGAAGGTACAAGATGGTGTAGCCGCTGTAATCCGTCTCCCCCACCACCACGTCCACTGGGGCACCCCGGCCTGGAGAGGGACCACCGAGAGATAAAAGAGCAGCTTGGCCTGCAAGGGTTGCTTTGTACCACCCAGGTTCAGGGCTGGTTGAGGAAGAGAACCCAGGAGAGGGGAAGTCTTCTCCCCTCTCGCATCTCACCTTTCAAGAGGAACCGCCCGGGAGTCCTGCTGGCAAAATAGGTCTGCTTGATGTTCCAGCAGATCCCTTCCCTGCAGACACAAAGGTGGTGTCACCGGCATGGGAACCGAGGCTAGGCTGAGCCCCCAGATGCCCCGTCCTGAGCTATGGGTCCCCGGAATACTCACAGTGGGCGGAAGGTGCTAAAGCGCAAAGATTTCAGCTCAGCATCGCTGTCAGTCACCGACACAACCACGTTGGTGGCTTCTAGCCGGTAGCTATTTTCGCGCAGGTAATGGCAGTCAGAGGCCACCCCCACCAAAAACCACTTCCCTGCAAACTAGAAAAGGAAGGAGATGTCCAACTTCTCCCCCACCCCCATTTAAAAGGAATTGACACCCCATGGATTAGAGATGCCCGGATGAGAAGAGGCCTTTCTCTGGCTGGGTTTTGTCCCCCGCCCACCATGTTGTCCATTTTTGAATGGAGGGCGGGTGACTGGGCCTCCAACGGGCCTCTTGCTGCCACTAAAACACAGCAAACCCAGATTCTAGCAGTTGGATGGCACCGAGGCTGAGAACACGTCAGTCGATGGCAAGTCAATCCAGGTTCTACCCAGACATTTCAGAACCGAGAGTAACCATCCAGAGTGGAAGAAGAGAACTTCGGGGGTGGGCTGGCAGAAACTCAAACATAGGTTGCCTTAATTTGCTCTTGTTTTTAAAACATTTGCAACCAGATGGAATAGTGGAGAGAACAATGAATTGCAGGGCAGGCTTGTGGTATCTCTGCAGCTGCCCCCCCCCCCCCCAAAATAAACTAAAAAAGGGAGAGCCGGCGAAAAAAAAAAGAAAAAAACAATC